TCACCAGAGCATCAGCAAACACTAGGGAAATATGCCCTGTGCACACATCCTGCAGGAACCCACTGGCAGCCGAGACAGGCATGATGTAGCAAGATTGCCAGAGGTCAAGGGCAAGTATCGCCAGGGAGAGAAGGCTGAGAAGTTTGCCATGTCATAGATCCCTACCCGCCGCCTGCAACCTCATGCAGTTTTCTGGATTCTGTGGTTTTGAGCCATTTTGATGAGCGCCAGAGGGGGAAATTCCATTTCTATATCTCTTCCAGGATTTATGACTTGGGTCACACTCGCTTAAAGAGGCATGGTTTCTTGATGACAGCTGCTTTTACTTGGGATGCAATGTTAGAGCGATACTGAACTGTCCTTTGGGTGGCAGGGTGGGGCTGTGTGTGTGGGGGGGGTGGGGGGTGTAGCCTTCCAGAGAGCCCACAGAAGGCACCAGGCTAGGTGAGAAATGAACGAGGGGGCTAGTGGTTTTCTCTCCCACTTGAATATACTGCCACTCAACCAGCATGGCTTCTATCCATGGTTTCCAAACATTTTTTGGTTGTGCAAATTGTGTTTAAGCCAAGCACACGTAGAGCCCCACTCTGCAGATGTGAAGAGGCCCTGGTTTGAGAGAGGCAGGGGGCCTAGAGTCCAGTCTGTTCTTGTCCCTTCTCCCCCATCTCCTAGAACTTCAGAGAGACCCATGGACACCCATTAAACATGGTTGGAAAATTCCTGGGGAAGTTTTGAAAGATACAGGCTTTGGGGCAGCTTGAAGTCAAATCCTGGCTCAACTATTGATTTACCTTCTTTCTCTCTCTCTCTCTTTTTTTTTTTTTTTTTTTTTGAGTAGCTGGGACTACAGGCGTACACCACCACCCCTAGTTAATTTTTGAATTTTTTTTGGTAGATACAGAATCTCACTATGCTGCCCAGGCTGGTCTCCAACTCCTGGGCTCAAACAATCCTCTTGCCTCAGTCCCCCAAAGTGCTGGGTTTACAGGTGCGAGCCACTGCACCCGTCCTCATTTACCTTCTCTTGATCTTCACTTTCTTTATCTTTAAATTGGATATAATACTACCTTCTTTTTTTTATCAATATTTTTTATTATGGTTTTGTGGGGTACAGTTAAGGGTTAGGTGTACAATTACGTTTCATTCAGGCACCCTGTTGTTGATAAGAGGTGTTTCCCTATCCCCAGACAGATATTTGCTACTGTTAATCCCATCCCCCCCATAGTTTCCCAGTACTGTCAGTCATTTTCTTATAGTATTACATTGGATGTTCAAGGTCCATTATATGAGTGAGAACATGTGATACTCGGATCTTTGTTTCTGTGAGAGGTCACTCAGTATTATAGACTCTAGTTCCATCCAGGTTAATACTACCTTCTTTTAAATAATAAATTATAAACATATAACTAGTAATCATATATGATGCGCGGAAAGTGTCTGGCCCATAGTAGGTGCTCCATAAATGACAGTTTCATACAGGCCTCAAGCAAGCCCTTCTTTGCTGGGGCTATGGGGGATTCAAATATGAGTGAGAAACCTCATGAAGTTGAGAGTCTGGGCCCTTCTACAGGCTGGGATAGAGGAACTACTAGAGGCAAGGAAACAAAGTGCCATGACAGGGAAAAAGAAGGGAGGAAGGTGTGAATATTTTCATTAGGAGATGTGTCTGAGACTTCCAGTTGCCTCCTCAATTTTTCCCCCATTTATTCCTTTGTATTAAATCCCTTGTTTCCATCTGGAATCATGGTTGCCTTGAATTAAATCCACAGTTCAGCCAAGCACGGTGGCTCACACCTATAATTTTCGCATTTTGGGAGGCTGAGGCAGGAGGCTCACTTGAGCCCAGGAGTATGAGACTAGCCTGGGCAACACAGTGAGACCTCATCGCTATATAATAATAATAATAATAAATTTTAAACAAAAGGAGAAAGAAAAAGAAATGAAACCACATTTTCCAGTCCTCTTGCAGCAAGTGGCCATGTGACTAAATCCTGGCCAATAACATGTAAGCGGAATTGGAAACCTCTTCCAGCTGGAAAGAAGCAGTGAGGGACTCAGGGGACAATGACCCTTTGAAGAACCCTGGATTCCCCTAAGTCAGAGTCACCAGATGGACTGAGACAGGACAGACAATTCTTGAATGAATGATAGGAGGTCTTTCCAACCCAGTTTGCCTCCCTCCTACTGCTTAAAATCCTGCTTTTGAAGACATGGGCCTGAGATTTCACCCACATGAGTGGACATTATATATCTCTTTTTTAAAAGTGTCAACACTCTTGGGATGATGAGTTCATTCATTCAGTGTGGTGTCCTGGGATCACCAGCTGGAGAAAATGTGAACTAGGTTGAGAAGAAGGTGAGAGAAAGAGATATTTAAAGGGCAGAGGGACACCAGGATGAGAATTTTGACAAGGGGACACCTTGAGGGCACAGACATAATGAATGTTTACTGAAGATTGACCACATGCCAGATACTACATTAACTCTGGAGACAAACCTACAAAATTAATGCTGCCCCCTTGGCTACTTTAAGACGTTGGTTTGTGCCAGGTCTTGTCCCTTTCTCTTGTTCTTAGAAATCACATGGAGCCGGGCTCGGTGAGTCAGCCTGTAATCCCGTGCCTTTGGGAGGCTGAGGTGAGTGGATTGCCTGAGCCCGTGGATTTGAGACCTGCCTAGGCAACTTGGCGAGACCTCATCTCTACAATAAATCAAAAATTAGCCGGGCGTGGTAGCGCGCGCCTGTAGTTCCAGCTACTTGGAAGGCTGAGGCGGAAGGATCGCCGGAGCCCAGCAGGTTGAGGCTGCAGTGGCCGGGAGCGGCCACTGCACTCCAGTCTGGGCGACAGAGTGAGACTCCAACTCAAAAAAAAAAAAAAAAAGATAGAAATCACATGGAACAATGTCTCTCTCCTCTGGAAAATGGGGCTCTGCCCACTTAAATCTGCCTGGCCGATGGCCCTGTATGACAATGTTGGGGGTAGTCTGCAAGGCGCAGCTACATCTGGCAAGAACTACCCTGGCTGAGCGCTCAGCGCTACCTCCCCTTCAGGGAACCTGCTCACCTCTCCATCCTCATCCAGGGGAGGCCTGTTGGGGCTGTGCTCAGCTGGGATGGGGGAGGGACTTTGAAGGGAGTGTGTAGAGGGTCTCGGATCATACAAAACAGCTCCTGTGTGTGGTTTGGGGGGACTACTGGTGGAGGGATCCCAGACTCAGGGGAGAAACGTGGCTTGCCAAAGAAGGCAAAGCCAGCCCATTCCTGGGCTACAGAGTGACAAGGTAAGGACTCCTTGGCCTGGGGCATCCTTTCTCTATTGATTCCTAGCTGTGGAGGTAATGGACTATGATCTGTTGAGGGATGCCCTAAAATGACCTGCTCTGTAACTACTAACATTTACTGACCTCTTACTAGGTCCTAGGCCTTATACTACATACACATATGAACTTATTTAATCCTCTTAACAATCCCACGAGGCAGGTGCTGCTATTATTATTATCCCAATTTTATAGGTGAGGAAACTGAGGCACAGAGAAGTTAAGACTCACAAAAGATCACACACACACAAAGTCTGTCGAGCTTGAGTTCACGTGAGTATGCTTTATGGCCTCTATTCATGAACAAAATACTGAAGTTTGAAAATAGTTGTTAAAAACATCAGTCAGGAAAATAGATACAGACTGCTAATTGTGGTTCCTTTAGAAGACTGGGATTAGTAGAATTAAAAGATTTTGAACTGTGAAAAAAAGCAAAAACAAAAACAAAAAAAAAACATCAGTCAGAATGGCCGCCAAACTATTCTTATAATCCTACGGGGTGGGGTCGGGGGGGGGGACAAAAAGTTGTGCATTTATGTTTACATGTTTAAACTTCAGTCACCTTCAAAGTACTCTCCATTTGATGCAATACACCTATGGAGATGCTTTTTCCACTGCTCAAAACAGTCTTTGAACTTGTCAATGTTGATGCCTTTTAGTACTTCTGTCATTTTTTGTTTCACCACTTCCACATTTCCCTTTGAGGATTTGTTTTCATGGGATGGAGGAGTCACTTAGGATGAGATGGAGTGAATAGGGAGGGTGGGACACAGAGGGCGTGCCAAATTTGGTCCCAAACTGCTGAACACTCAGCATAGTGTGAGCAGGTGAGTTGTCATGGTGAAAGAACCAGTCACTTATTTGACACACACACACAAAAACAAAACAGTGCTAGCTACAATGATGCTGATGGGTTCCTGGAATACTTACCTTAGCAGGGAAGCCTGTACTACAAGGAGCCCACCCTTCAAAAGATAATTCTGGGTTTTTTTTTGGGTCCCCTCTGTATATCCCTCCAAGCACTTTCTCAGATTGCATTCCAACAAGCTTTTCTTCAGAGGGTGCAACAGACATGGCTTGACAATGAGCATTGTGGGAATTTTGCTTAACTCTGCTTCTGCCAACGTATTTGTATCTTGCAAGTGTCACCCATTATGCAAGAGACAATTCTTTACCCAAATCTGGCTCTTCTTTTTTCTGGGCACAGAGCTGGCCTCCTGAACTTCCTTACAATTAAGTGTGCCAAAACGGTCAGTTCTTGCCAAGGGGATGTTTGTGGATGTGACATGTATCACTACACATTCCAGGGATGCACGGGGAATGGAGGCTGTAGGGGATGACAGAGCCTGGGTCCCTAAATTGAGATGCACTCATCTACTAGGAACAGCTGCCTTGGGCTCTTGAACAAGAATCTCTATGGTACATTTCCTTGTACATATTGGAGTCTACCTATTCCTATGGCCTAACCTATCCTGGACATTATTTTCTCTGCTTTTGGTCAAAGGTTGAGATTGACTTATTTTTGAGAACCTCAAGAATACATGAAGGGGCTTCTAGAAACTTCGAATTCCCCATCAGGCCCAGGTTTAAACAGCCACACCTCCCTCCCCTGCTGGCTACATTCCCAGGACAACGGCAGGGGAAGTGAAGTCAGCAGGAAGCTGATGCATGCATTACATTACCACATCTGTTTCCTTCCAGAGAAGTCCCATTTCTCTTGGGGCTGGAGGTTGGGGGTCTCAGTCCAGCTGCCGAGGGGCCTCCAGAGGATATGGGGCCGCTGCGGGGACCACCAGGGGTGGGGGCAGGGCCTCCCCCAATGTGGCCATCTCCAGAGTTCTGTCTCTTGCAGTATTGTGAAGAGGAAGGGGACAAGGAGCCCCTGTGGCTAAAGGCAGAGGTGGAGGGGTCCACGCCGTAGGGGTTCATGCCCGCAGGGTTCACCAGGCACTCTTCGATGGTCACTGTCTTGGCTGAACAAGAAGGCAGTTCAGAGAAGCAGAGATCAGAGAGCAGTTCGGGAAGCTACCTGACCCTCCATCTTGGCAAACCCCACCCTGGCAGCACAGTCGTTACAATGTGTGAGGATGGAGATGAGGGGAGATGAACCCCCCAGCATGATTCCAAATAGCACACCTGTCGGCTGACCGAGACATCTCCCAATGAAAGCATATTTTAGTAGGAATTGGAAGGTGTTCCCCTCCATGTTTAGAGGAAAATGTACTGATCTTGGCTACCGATGACTTAGAAATAAAATCCAAATCCAAGTCTTTCTCCCTCTATGGCTCCGCCCTTTTGGCGATCTCTGCTGGCTTATCAGAATCTCTTTCCTCTTTCCTCTCTCACCCACCATCTCTGCCTCCCTCACCTGGCCCAGGACTCCTTGGAGAGATCAAACAGGTGCCACAATGTCCCAGAGTCAGGTGAAACTGCTCTAGCCGGGACAGAGGCACAGGTGCCACGGTGCTTTCCCTCCCACTTTTAGTCCCGATACCCATGAGGACAGCCACTCTTCCAGCACAGCTAACAACCAGGGACACACGTGCTGATCTGGACAGTTCCATGGTCCACCCCAGACCCTTTACGTGAGAGCAAAAGAGGGAATATAAAGCACAGAGGGAGTCAAGGACCTGAAGAGTCAGCAGACTCTTCAGGCAACTGCATTATCAGTACCCCCCACCCCAAGTAAATCAGGACTTTCTACACTTTTAAGGCTCAACCATGAGCCTGTTGCACTCTTTCTGTGAGCCACACCTGTGGCCAGATGAAGTTTTTTGTTTTGTTTTGTTTTTATGTTTATTATTTTGGACAAAATCCAGAGGAATTATGAGGACAGAGAAAAGAAGGAAACTATTCTAGTCCCTCCTACTCCAGACAAGATCATGTCTATCTAGCACCATCAATAATTATCTGTATATTAGACACCATCAAAACAGATCTTGGAAGTCTTAAAAAAAATGCAATCAGTAACAGAAAGCAATCCGCCAAGATTGGCAATGGAAGACACATTTAGGTCACAAGATCCCGATGTCTTCTTTGCGAATGGATTGCTTCCACAATGTAGGCATTGAAGATTAAGACTTGATTTTATTAGAGGAGCTAACAGATCTTCTCACAGTTCAGAATGGACCTGGAGAGTGCCTGGGAACAAAAGTCACTGCAGATGAGATGCAGCTAAAGCAGAGCTTAGAGGTAAATTTATCATCGTAAATACTTATATTAAAAAGGAAGAAAGACCTCACATTAATAACCTAATCTTCCACATTAAGACAGCAGGGGGAACAAAAGAACAAATTAAACTTAAAGCAAGCAGAAGGGAGAAAATAAAGATTTCAACTGAAATTAATTTAATAGAGAATAGAAAAACAACAGATAAAATCAGTGAAACCAAAAGCTGGTTCTTTGAAAAGATCAATCAAATTGACAAATCTCTAGCTAGATTAAAAAAAATAAGGAAGGAGAAAGAGATAGAAGACTAAATTACTACAGACAGGAATGAAAGAGGAGCCATTACTATTGATCTTACAGAAATAAAAAGAATACACATGCTCTTTGATTTATAGTGGGATGACATCCCAATAAATTCATCATAAGTTAAAGAGACTGTAGGTCAAAATACATTTACTATACTCAACCTACTAAGCATCATAGCTTAGAGTAGCCTACCCTAAACATGCTCAGAACCCTTACATTGGCCTACAGCTGGGCAATAATCTAACAAAGCTTATTTTATAAAAAAAAGTTTTGAATATGTAATTTATTGAATAGTGTATTAAAAGTAAAAAAAGGAGTTGTAGCATGGGTACTCGAAGTACTGTTTCTATGGAATGTGTATCACTTTCACACCATTGTAAAGATGAGAAACCCTAAGTCAAATTATCTTAAGTTGGGAACCATCTGTACTATAAACAATTGTATGAGGTAAATTAGATAACTTAGATATAAAAGACAAACTACTAAAACTGACTAAAGGAGAAATAGTCTGAGTAGATCTATAACAAGTAGAGATTGAGTTAGTAATTTTAAAACTACCCAAAAAGAAAGCTCAAGCCCAGATGAATTATACCAAACACTTAAAGGAAAAATAAAATCTTTACAAATTATCAAAAAAATAGAAGAAACAGAAGCACTTAACAATTGATATATATTACCCTGATATCAAACCAGACATACACATCATGAGAAAACTACAGATCAGTATCTCTTATTTACATGAATGCAGAAATCCTCAACAAAATACTGACAAAATTGAATCCAGCAACATGTAAAAAGACATATGCACCATGACCAAGTAGATTTATCCTAGGAATGCAAGGTTGATTTAACATTTGAAAATCAATTAATAAAATACGCCATATCAATAGGATTTTAAAAATCATGTAAACAACTCAATAGATGCAGAAAATATTTAATAAAATCCAACATCCTTTTGTGATAAAATCACTCAACGAACTAGGAATAGAAGAGAATTTCCTCAAGTTGATACAATGTATCTGCAAAAATCCTACAACTAACATCATAGTTCATGATGAAAGACTGGATGCTGTCCCCTTAAAATCAGGAGCAAGATAAATATCCACTCCAGCTACTTCCGTTAACATTGTACTAAGGGTTTCTGCCACGGCAATTAGATAAGAAAAAGAAAGAAAGGCATCTAGATTGGGAAGGAAGAAGTAAAACCATCACTTATATGTGCAAAATCCTAAGGAATTTACTTTTAAAACTGTTGGAATTAAGTTCAGCAAGGGGCAGGGTGCAGTGGCTCATGTCTGTAATCCCTGTACTATGGGAGGCCAAGGAGGGAGGATCACTTGAGGTCAGGAGTTTGAGAATAGCCTGGGCCACATAGTGAGATCTCATCTCTCTACACAAAATTTAAAACATTTTTTTAAAAAAAAGTAGTTGAGCAAGGTTGCAGGATACAACATCAATATGCAAAAATTAATTGTATTTCTATACACTTGCCAAGAAAATAAGCGAAAAAATTCCATTTATAATAGTATTAAAGAGAATAAAATACACAAAAGAAATTCAAATTTATAGTCTGAATGCTACAAAACATTGTTGAAAGCTCATAGATCAGCAGACTTATTGTTAAAATAACAATATTCCACAAATGTACCTACAGATTCAACACAACCCCCGTCAGAATCTTGATTGATATCTTTCTAGAAATTAACAAGCCGATTCTAAAACTCATATGGAATTGCAAGGGACACAGAATAGCCAAAACAATCATGTTAAAAAAGAATAAAGTAGAGGGCTCACACTTTCTGATCTCAAAATTTACCACAAAGCATTGGTAATTAAGATGATGTGAGAGGTCTTTATGTAAAGTGAAATAAACCAGACTCAGAAAGACAAATATTGTATGTTCTTGTTTACTTGTGAGAGCTAAAAACGTGGATCTCATGAAGACAGAGCAGATGGGTGGTTACCAGAAGCCAGGGAGGGTAGGGATCTGGTGAGGGGGATGAAGAGACATTGGTTAATGGGTATAAATATACAGTTTGTTAGAAGAAATAAGACCTAGTGTCTGATAGATCAGTAGGGTGACTAGAGTTTACAACAGTCTAGTGTACTTTTTGAATAGCTAGAAAATAATGATTCAAATGATTCTAGCATAAAGAAAAGACACATATTTAAGGTGATGGCTACCCCAAGTACACTGATTTGATCTTTACAAATTGCAAAAAACTATCAAATTATCACATGTGCCCCAAAACCATGTACATCTATAATGCATCAATTAAAAATTGTTTAAATAAATAAAACCAATGTTATTGGAGAGGAAAAAAAAGACTGGTACTCACATATGGATAGACATAGATCAATGGAATCGAATTCAGAGTCCAGAAATAAACTCATTTGCCTGTGTTCAACTGATTTTCATCAAGGGTGCCAGGACCATTTGATGAGGGAAAGAATGGTCTTTTCAACAAATGGTGCTGGGACAGCTGGATATCCATTTGCAAAACAATGACGCTACACCCTTGCTCACACCATATACAAAAATGAATCAAAATGTAGAACAAAAAACTGTAAAACTCTTAGAAGGAAATACATATACGAGGGAATCCCCTAGAAACCTGGATTCATTTTTTGGAGGCTTGGCCCCTTTTAATACAGGCTCCCCCTGCTAGGTAAGTGTTCTAGGAACACTTCTAGTGGACCAGCTAGCATTGTTGCGAGAGGCTGTGCTGCAGAAGAAACGTCCCAAGTTGTGGCAAACAAGTGACTGGTTCTTCCACCATGACAATGTATCTGTCTACATCGTGCAGAGTGCCACCATGACAATGTATCTGTCTACATGTGCTGAGTGTTCAGCAGCTTTTGACCAAAATCAACATGACTCCCACATGCTCCACCCTCCCTATTCATCTGATCTTGCCCTGGGTGACTTTTTGTTGTTGTTGTTTCCCCAGATGAAAAAAATCCTCAAAGGGAAATTTTTGCAGTGGTGGAAGAGGTGAAGCAAAAACCAGAAGCATTAAGAGGCATCAAAATGAACGAGTTCAAAAACCGTTTTGAGCAGTAGAAAAAGCATCTCACTAGGTGTATTGCTTCAACCAAAGAATACTTTGAAGGTGACTGAAGTTTAAACGTAAGAATAAATACACAATTTTTAATAAATAAATTCTGGGTTTTAGGGGTTCCCCCTTGTATATCAAGCATCATGACCTTGGATTTGGCAAAGTATGCTTCGATTTGACACCAGAAGCACAAGCAACAACAACAGAATAGATAGATTGAACTTCATCAAAAATTAAAACTCTGGTGTTCAAAGGACACCATCCAAAAGTGAAAAGATGACTCATATATTAGGGGAAAATATCTGCAAATCATGCACTTGATAAGAGACTTAGGTCTAGACTACATTAAGAATTATTACAACTCAATAATAAAAAGACAACCTGATTTTAAAATGGACAAATGACTTGAATGAAAATTTCTCCAGAAAAGATATACAAAT